ATTTGCATTTTAATGAGGGAAATAAGTATTTGATCCCCTCTCAATCAGAAAGATTTCTGGCTCCCAGGTGTCTTTTATCCAGGTAACGAGCTGAGATTAGGAGCACTCCCTTTAAGAGTGTGCTCCTAATCTCAGCTTGTTACCTGTATAAAAGACACCTGTCCACATAAGCAATCAATCAATCAGATTCCAAACTCTCCACCATGGCCAAGACCAAAGAGCTCTCCAAGGATGTCAGGGACAAGATTGTAGACCTACACAAGGCTGGAGTGGGCTACAAGACCATTGCCAAGAAGCTTGGTGAGAAGGTGACAACAGTTGATGCAATTACTCGCAAATGGAAGAAACACAAAAGAACTGTGAATCTCCCTCTGCCTGCTAAGGGGACAGGACAACTTCACCGCATCAAAGGGACGATGGACAGGACTATGTACCGTCAAATATTGGGTGAGAACCTGCTTCCCTCAGCCAGGGCATTGAAAATGGGTCGTGGATGGGTATTCCAGCATGACAATGACCCAAAACACATGGCCAAGACAACAAAGGAGTGGCTCAAAAAGAAGCACATTAAGGTCCTGGAGTGGCCTAGCCAGTCTCCAGACCTTAATCCCATAGAAAATCTGTGGAGGGAGCTGAAGGTTCGAGTTGCCAAACGTCAGCCTCGAAACCTTAATGACTTGGAGAAGATCTGCAAAGAGGAGTGGGACAAAATCCCTCTTGAGATGTGTGCAAACCTGGTGGCCAACTACAAGAAACGTCTGACCTCTGTGTTTGCCAACAAGGGTTTTGCCACCAAGTACTAAGTCATGTTTTGCAGAGGGGTCAAATACTTATTTCTCTCATTAAAATGCAAATCAATTTATAACATTTTTGACATGCGTTTTTATGGATTTTTTTGTTGTTATTCTGTCTCTCACTGTTCAAATAAACCTACCATTAAAATTATAGACTGATCATTTCTTTGTCAGTGGGCAAACGTACAAAATCAGCAGGGGATCAAATGCTTTTTTCCCTCACTGTATTAGCAACATTAGCCAGGATGAGCGCTTTGAGCTTTCTCAACTAAAAAATAGAAATGACATAGCCATCCTCTCAGCCGACAAGGGCAATGCCACTGTCATCATGGACAAAACCGCATGCAATCACTAAATTCAGGACCTACCTAATGATGTTAGCTATACCAAAATAAATAGAGATCCCACCAACCGCCTGATTACGAAAACCAACAATATCATCATTGATCTTTAATCGAACCAACCAAGCGGCTTTACTTAAAACCCTCTGCTGCTAGACCACCCAGATTTTATGGCTTACCAAAAATCCATAAGGAAGGTACACCACTTCGTCCTATCGCCTCCACCATTGACTAACCCACCTACAAACTGGCCCGATTTCTGTCTGAGACCTTACAACCATTCACAGGTAAGACCACCTCAGCTGTACTTAACTCAGCTCACTTGGTATCGTTAATTAAGGATATCTCACTATCTCCAGGTTATTTGCTTGTCAGTTTCAATGTAGTGTCTTTGTTTCCCAAAGTTCCTGTGCCTGACACCAGTTGAAGTCATAACTGGCTGTGATGTTTCCATCCTACCTGCCGATGTTAGTAGTTATTGTCGACTCTCTGGTAACAGGTTAAATGTCTTTACATTAACAGGTTAAATGTCTCACTAACACAGCCACCGTTGCTCGTTTTCCTCGATGTGGCGGTGGCTCTACGATCTTACATTGACATGCTAATCTCTCACAAGACAATGGCCACCTCCGCAGCTTCGTCGTCGTGGAGGTAGCTCTCTGATTTTCCCGATCATGCATTTACATGCAAATTTCATCACTAGCCCCGCCCACTTCGCTTATGACCCTTGGGCTACACCCATCTCAAACCTTTATAACATCCTGCCTCAGCAGCTCTACTGCAATTTTTTCACCTGATCACGATTGCTTGTGTTGTGATCGAAACGTCGTGATATTTTTATTATTTTTTTTCTATCTACGTGGCTTTACCGAAATACCCAAAGAATATGCTTCAATAATAAATAAATAATGCTTTTAATCATGCTTTTGGAGAAAAACATTAAAAACTGCTCCTAGAAGAAGCACAATGTTTTCATTGAGCAATTTACAAGTTTAAATGTAGTTGTCACATGCAGAGTTCGTGATATGTTGTCACTGTAGGTTGTGACAGGCAAATGGAATTTGAAGGCATTATATATTTGATTGCTTAATTTGCGCAGGTTTTTTTTATTATCATTGAGTGATAATAATAATAACCAATTAAAATGTTGCCACTTTTGAAATGGCTGCTAAAATATTTAAACGTTTTGTGAATTTCAATCTCAACTAAATGTTTTGGTTGGCACTCCTTTTTAATAAATATAACTAATTAAAAAAAGTGTGTTTCAATTCTCATTTAATGCACACTCTTCTAGCAAGACTTCTTCACAACTGTTATTTGTATCTACTCATGTATTACATGCCTGGATTTCTTATCACCTTTGTTAAATTTAAATATGGATTTCATTTTTCACAACCGTTTAAACCTCCTAGCTGTGCCCTCTAGAATGTACATTTTACTAAAATTAATGCACCTATAGAATGCACTCCAAACGCAGTGTAAATGTAAGTGCCATTTGTACCTCATGTTTTTGACCTTAAAGCCCCTATATTTCTGTTCATATACACACATTTGTCATTGTTAAATAGCACATTGTATTACAGCTATTCTTGTGAATGCTGGCCATATTGCCTGTTATGTTTCCAATTATTTTATTCGCAGAAAACCATTCTTAGGTCAGTGGCGCAGTGACCTGTACACTGAGCTGAACTGCAGTGACATTACGATTTTTTCCTCAGGATATTTGGTTAAAGTCACGTTAAAGTCATTGTAACTCTATATGTACAGTGTCTCTAAATGTGCTATGTTTTTTTTCGATTGTATATTTGTATAACACTTATAAAGGACAGTGAAAGATGGTTTCGCTTGCATCGTTACTGTCCTTGGTAATTTATGAATATCCGACTGCAAAGCATATGCTTTCATTTTGTTTTGCTAAAAAACAAGCATTTTCAAATTTGTATCAAAGTGTAATGATTACGTGATTTATCGTCGTCAAGAACGTTTGACCACCCCATGTGCATATGAATGTAAATCGCTATTCAATACACTGCTGATGTGTGGGGCGTTACGAGCTGTCAGTGGACATACAAACACTACACATAGCACTGCCCCAACAGTCTGTTTAGGCTTTACAGAGGATCTTTGTCTTTGTTGTGGGGAGCAGTAGTGTAGCTGTTCGCGCGCTACACTACGAACCCAGCAACCCGAGTTCGATTCCCGCTGAGCCGGTCCTGGGCCTCCCCTAGGTTTAAATGAGTACCTGGTGCAGTGTATTAACATCACCACGAGGGAGACAAACGCGGCCGGGGGTGGTGCTGGTCACCCACCCCCTCGTGCACTGTGTCGGCCCTCATAGGTGCTCGCAAACAGCACTTGCCTCAACAGTCTGATCAGGCTATACGGGAGATCTTTGATCTTTGCTTGATGTGTGTGTGTGTTGTGTTATTTTAGGATGAAATATGTTCTGATAGAATGACTGACACTACTCTGTCACGCAATAGCTTATTGCACACCTATGTGTGTTCGACTAAGCGTGTTACATTGGGGTGATTACAAAAACTATTTTCTGTGCCTATTTCATATTTCATGTCTACTGTTGTAGCAGGCAACTATGTAAAATTATGATTTTCATTTTTAAACTGTCAAAGCTATGGTAGATTTAGTATTGATTGTCTGCTTTGTCAATTTGCACAACTACTATATTGCACTGAGATTCATGGCAACAGCAAGCGTAGTCAATAGTTGTCTTGTTATATGCATAATGCACAGACAAGGGTTGATATATCTTGTCTCAGATTAAAGAGCTTACATTTAAAATATTAAAGGATCCAAAGGAAAACTAGGCCGCGAATTTCTTATGTAAGATTTTTTTCGAATACATCTCACAACACTATTATTTTCCTGAAAAAGATGTCGCGACTACGGTCAAATATTATAAATAGCAACCCGAAGAACATCCATTGGATCTTTGGAACGTTAAATAAGGTCGTTTAAGGAATCCATCATAATGGTTTCCATTCAATATTTTACAGAAATCACCAAAGAAAAAATCGCAGCCAAATCTGTTGTTGACGTTATAGTCAAAATGTAGGGTGGTGACGGCAGCGTGTTTGTCGCTCGTTGCAGTGAGTTTGTGATTCAAATTTAGTGGCCGCCCCGGTTAATACTGCAGGCGCATAAAAAATACACGTCATCTGCTTCACAGTAGACTTCACAGATCCCGCGGTGTTATTCGAGGAAGAACAGATGATGGTATGTGCCAGCGTCACTGTCCAAAATTGCCAAGTTTTGAAAAGTACTGATTTTAGTAAAACCACATAACATCATCATTCCCTACTTGCAGATGATATTCGTCAATGAAATATAACGTCTTCGTAATAGCCTAGTGCGAAAAGAATGCCACCCTGCCAAATGTACGAAATTGTCATTATTACAAATGATTTTTACGTGGCCGGGTCAGAGTACACATTGGATATGCTCTCCCTGGTATGTGAGTATTACGTATATGTGGCTTTATTTTAGGACCTCCTTAAAATCTTATCATATATCTTCAGATGCTTTATTCAGATATCTAAAATAGTTGCCTTTTCAAACTTTAATCAACTCTCGCAGTACTGCAAATACCTTTTGGTTATGTAAAATACAAGTAACTTAATGCTTTTTAATAGCTTATACAACACTACTCTATCAACATTATCTGTGGATTACAACTTTCGTGTGACTGGTAAGCATTCTTGATCAAACCATTAAACAAAAAAACATGTCTAACCACAAGAGCTTTCTCTACTTCTGAGTTAAACCACCTCCCTCTGTGTGTCTACTTAATCGAGTACCTTTAAATCCCAAAAGCTGTCTTGTCTGATCTGTACCTGCTCCCTCTCAGGGCATGATGTACCTGGAGGAGCAGCGTTTGGTGCATCGGGACCTGGCAGCACGCAACGTGCTAGTGAGAACCCCTCAACATGTGAAGATCACAGACTTTGGCTTAGCACGGCTACTTGACATCAATGAAATTGAGTACCACGCAGATGGTGGCAAGGTATGTCCATGACTTGGTGTACACATAGAGCTCTTTGTCAGTGCAATAGTAGATTTTTCTACTCTGCCTTTGCTGAAAACAGCTCTAAAGCAACCTACAACACCTGTTTGATGCATGGTGACGGCCAATGCAAGCACTATCCAGGCTGAAGACGGATTCGCTTCTGAGATCATACAAGGTATGATCTCAGAAGCTAATTCGTCCGATATGGTCATATAAATCTGTATTTGTTACCCCCACTGGCATAGACCCAAACAATGCTCATAGTTAGTGTCTTGAGTGTTCCACAATACTACAGGGATTTAATTCACGTATGAATATTTATCCAAGACATAGCCTTACAAAAATGATTTACTGCAGCTTTTGCTTCAGAATACGACTTTGAATAATTTTGTAACAGTATATATTATACTTTATTTGACTTTTAATAATATATTGAAACATTTAAAAATAGTACATGGATTTGAACCAGCTAAATTTGCATTATAAAGAGAGCCTGTTCACTCAGCAGGTATACACGGCCAATGCACTCAACATGCCAGACACAGAAAATACAACCAAGCTACAAACTAGAAGCAACATAAGCATCAGTCTTTTCCCCAATACTCTACATCTATTAAACTACACGCAATGCATATTAGAAACTCAACAATCAATAAACAAAATTAACCAGACACTCACCTTTTCCACCACACACACATAATACTCATCTATTATCTAGTTTATATTAAAGGCACTTTTGTTTTGAAGGATATCCCATTAGCAAAGTTACGCACTTGTGCATTACACTGATCATAAGCACACTGTGAAGTTCACAAAATAAATAAGCACAACATCAAGAAGGCAAAATATTTTAGAAGTATTTAATCTTTATTTCAAGCTTTCGTGACTGCAGGAATCCATCCTCTTTGGTTCTTTCGGTAAAGTCATGTAGATAGAAAATTCATAGATCACGACGTTTCGATCGCAACACAAGCGACCGTCTTCAGGTGAGAGTATTTAATGTTTCTGTTTTAACCTTTTTTTTTGTTCGTAGCTCCGTTCTTCACACACTTCTCAGAGTAGGTGTCTTGGTCTATGGAGGGTGTGGAACCTCGGCTCTCTGCACAAGTCCCCATTGTAGGAAAACATTTGAAGAGCGGAAGCCTAGTATTTCAGAGCTCCCGATGATGATTCCCTCAGAGAGCTCCCGAGCTGTGGTTGTGCAATGCATGAAAGGCAATGTATGCAAAATTTAATTGACGTAAAGAAAAAGCGCACAGGACACATAAAAAACAGCCACTGAAGTTAATGTTGCATATGGTGGCAATTGGAGATGGTCAAAGTGATTTAAATCACATGCCAAATCCACAAAGGCTGTAGGCTGACCTTTACCTTTTGCCTTTCTTTACCTGTCTGATTTATGCAGTGACCACAGACTGGAGTCACGAGGTGTCTCAGATACAATTATGTGGTCTACCTGTTTTTTTTTATTCCCAAATTCTTAATTGGTCAGAGTACATTCATGACATTTCTGCTTATACTCTTCCCGTGCATTTTATTTTTATATCTCAGACATATTTAGAGAGTCTTCTGGTGTTTCAATTCTGGTATTGAGATACCCTTCCCAACGTGCATCTCCAAACCGGCCTTATTTTCATTGCTAGCTTGTGAGTAAGGGATCACACACAAGTCACCTGAGTATGTATATTCACCCATAGCATTGTGTCCTGGTTTAACCTCTTGTGAATTATTACCTTCCTTCTGGCACAATTATTGACTTAACCCTTCAAATTCAGACAAGAACTGCTGTACACAGATGGGTAACCTCCACGGCATCCCAGCGTAACCTGATTTCACCTTGCAGTTACTTAGTGTTAATTACTGTTTGAATCTGTAATGGTTATATGACATGAGAAAAAAATGGGAGAATAGTCATCATCTGGAATCACTTTAATTCCTCTGTTGGTTTCAGTGGAGTCTTACGCAGCTAAATGGCCACCTGTGTTTACGTATTTTATTCTACCATCAATAGTTACTGAGAGAGATGCCTTTGGGGATACTTAAGGATGCTTATTAAAACACTGTAAATGAAACGTATATATATTACAAACCTGCTCTTAACGACTTAGCCTACAATGTGAGCAATAAGCACTCTTCTTCAACATTGACATGTTATATAGCATTTACAGCAGATTCATATTTTGAATTTTGACAATGAGTTTGAAAGATTGGGGGTTGTAAATGTTAGGTTATTTTATGTACAGTGAGGGAAAAAAGTATTTGATCCCCCTGCTGATGTTGTACGTTTGCCCACTGACAAAGAAATGATCAGTCTTTAATTTTAATGGTAGGTTTATTTGAACAGTGAGAGACAGAATAACAACAAGAAAATCCAGCAAACGCATGTCAAAATGTTATAAATTGACCCCCTCTCAATGTTATATATTGACTCCCTCTCATTCAGAAAGATATCTGGCTCCCAGGTGTCTTGTATACAGGTAACGAGCTGAGATTAGGAGCACACTCTTAAAGGGAGTGCTCCTAATCTCAGCTTATTACCTGTATAAAAGACACCTGCCAACAGAAGCAATCAATCGATCAGATTCCAAACTCTCCACCATGGCCAAGACCAAAGAGCTCTCCAAGGATGTCAGGGACAAGATTGTAGACCTACACAAGGCTGGAATGGGCTACAAGACCATTGCCAAGCAGCTTGGAGAGAAGGTGACAACAGTTGGTGCGATTATTCGCAAATGGAAGAAACACAAAAGAACTGTCAATCTCCCTCGGCCTGGGGCTCCATGCAAGATCTCACCTCGTGGAGTTGCAATGATCATGAGAATGGTGAGGAATCATCCCAGAACTACACGGGAGGAACTCTCAAGGCAGCTGGGACCATAGTCACCAAGAAAAAATTGGTAACACACGACGCCGTGAAAGACTGAAATTCTGCAGTGCCCGCAATGTCCCCCTGCTCAAGAAAGCACATATACATGCCCGTCTGAAGTTTGCCAATGAACATCTGAATGATTCAGAGGACAACTGGGTGAAAGTGTTGTGGTCATATGAGACCAAAATGGAGCTCTTTGGCATCAACTCAACTCGCCGTGTTTGGAGGAGGAGGAATGCTGCCTACGACCCCAGGAACACCATCCCCACCGTCAAACATGGAGGTGGAAACATTATGCTTTGGGGGTGTTTTTCTGCTAAGGGGACAGGACAACTTCACCGCATCAAAGGGACGATGGACGGGGTCATGTACCATCAAATCTTGGGTGAGAACCTCCTTCCCTCAGCCAGGGCATTGAAAATGGGTCGTGGATGGGTATTCCAGCATGACAATGACCCAAAACACACGGCCAAGGCAACAAAGGAGTGGCTCAAGAAGAAGCACATTAAGGTCCTGGAGTGGCCTAGCCAGTCTCCAGACCTTAATCCCATAGAAAATCTGTGGAGGGAGCTGAAGGTTCGAGTTGCCAAACGTCAGCCTCGAAACCTTAATGACTTGGAGAAGATCTGCAACGAGGAGTGGGACAAAATCCCTCCTGAGATGTGTGCAAACCTGGTGGCCAACTACAAGAAACGTCTGACCTCTGTGATTGCCAACAAGGGTTTTGCCACCAAGTACTAAGTCATATTTTGCAGAGGGGTCAAATACTTATTTCCCTCATTTCCCTCATTAAAATGCACATCAATGTATAACATTTTTGACATGTGTTTTTCTGGATTTTCTTGTTGTTATTCTGTCCCTCACTGTTCAAATAAACCTACCATTACAATTATAGACTGATCATTTCTTTGTCAGTGGGCAAACGTACAAAATCAGCAGGGGATCAAATACTTTTTTCCCTCACTATAATATCAGAGCCTTTACACCAATAATCTCACTAAATCTACGCGTGATATCATATTCTGGAGTATGTATCGATAAGCGGATGTCTAATATATTTAATGTTACATGTTATTGACAAATTCTGCTGTCATCAGATGCCTATCAAGTGGCTGGCCCTGGAGTCCATTCAGTACCGCACCTTTACCCACCAAAGTGATGTGTGGAGCTATGGTACACATTTTTTACTTTTCCTATGTTGTTTAAACTACGTATATATAATACATCTAAACTTTAAAAAATAATCTCACCTACGTTAAAGTCTACAATTAGAGCACATTTATACATAGTTTGAACATTCCATGTGTTCAAGAATTCTAGTAGTTGCCTTATTGAAAAGCCAGTAAAACATATACATACTTAATTTAAAGCTTTCGTGACTGCTAGGATCCATACTCTTTGGTTTTATTGGGTAAAGTCACGTAGGTAAAGCGCTGTCCTCCAGACAGTCTCTTCCCTTCACCTGATGAAGGCCGCTTGTGTTGTGGCCGAGACGTCGTGATTTTTGTTATTTTATTTTTTACCTACGTGACTTTACCCAATAGAACCAAAGAGTATATACATACTTGCAGTGGAACACTCCTACAAGCTGTAGTTATATAACTTTTTTTAATTTCTTGCATTCTTATCTTTGAGATTGACATGTTTTGTTTATGTTTTTCTTTAGTGTTCCAATGTTGCAGCTAAACTTCGTATGGAACATTTTAAATAATTCTTTGTTAAAATACATGCACATCTATTTATTTTTTGGATAATTAAAAATATAAATTAATTTCAATATGTGTAATCCACTTTTGGAAATGGGTCAAAATTACTCAATTATTGTCACAAAGGCACTTTTTTTTATCTGTATAAATGCGCATTGCCCTAGTTGAATCCTCACTGCTTGCAGAGCAGCTTGTTTGATTCCGTTTTAAAAAAAAATAACAAATCTATTCAAGAAATGAAACCTACATTATTAAGATGACGGTTCCCAAATGTTGAATGTGTGCAATGTTATATACAGTATAAATATGTATCAATCGATCTCCTTTCAGTCTATTAACCCCTTTGTTATCAGTTTGTCTTACGAAAATGAAGTAGTAGCAGGTTTTCCAACATAATTTTATTAAATTTTTATTTAAAGCTTTCGTAACTGCAGTGATTCAGATTCTTGGTTCTTTCGGTAAAGTCACGTTGAAGGGAAACAATGAAATAATTAAATATATAAAACTATTAAATTCTCACGACGTTTCGACTGTAACACAAACAGTCATCATCAGGTGTGAAAACCAACGGCAAGAAACATTTGAAAGAAGTGGCGGTTTTTACGTATTTATTTTTAAACGTTAGCACCACGGATAGCGATTTGACAGTTTGTTTAGAAGGACGAGTCCATCTATGTTCGGAAAAGAGGAGGGGGGAGACAAAAAATTAATGTTTGCTGTCTGAAAGCCACCGTAAGCGTGAACAATCAATTAAGACCCGAAATGGTTTATCAAATCCTTCCAATAATTGCTAAGCCAGAATCCATCTTCTCGGTTGAAATTGTCTCTGTGTTTGTATATGTGGATAGCCTCATAGCGAATCTCTCATGGTAGCCCGATGGCTTTCAAATAACCTCTGTCTTGGAGAAATCAATGTCATGTGAGCCTACTGAATTATAACAATGATCTGCCACGGCCGAGGTGTTGGTCCTACCATGTTTAAGGTCTGCTTTGTGTTCACGAATGCGGTCCGTGACATGTCGTTTGGTTTCTCCAATGTAATTACTACCACAGAGGCAACTTAGTTTGTAGACACCAGGGTACTGTATGTCCGGAATCACATCTTTTACAGACGGAACCAGATCACGTATTTTATGTAATGTGTTGAAACGGACCTGGATCTTGTATTTATTCAAGATTTTGGAGATCTTTTTTGTGATCCCCGCAATGTAGGGTAAAGTGATGGTATTGAAAGGCTCCTCAAGAGGGTCCTTCTTCATGGTTTGAGTGATAGCTTTGCGGATTGTATAGTCGGAGTAACCATTAGCGTTACGAGCTTGGTGTACGTGCTTGAGTTCACTGCCTATGTGTTCCTGGTCGGATATGCATTGGGCCCTATGGTGCAGAGTCTTGATGAGAGACTTTCTTCTGTGATGGATGGTGGTGGGAATCCGGTTTCAGATAAGCATACGTATGAGGAGCCTTTCAAAACCATCACAGAAGAATTATCTCATCAAGACTCTGCACCATAGAGCCCAATGCATATCCGACCAGTAACACATAGGCAGTGAACTCAAGCACGTACACCAAGCTCTTAAGGCTAATGGTTACTCCGACTATACAATCCACAAAGCTATCACTCAAACCATGAAGAAGGACCCTCTTGATGAGCCTTTCAAAACCATCACTTTACCCTACATTGCGGGGATCACAAAAAAGATCTCCAAAATCTTGAATAAACACAAGATCCAGGTCCGTTTCAACACATTACATAAAATCCGTGATCTGGTTCCGTCTGTAAAAGATGTGATTCCGGACATACAGTACCCTGGTGTCTACAAACTACGTTGCCTCTGTGGTAGTAGTTACATTGGAGAAACCAAACCACATGTCTCGGACCGCATTCGTGAACACAAAGCAGACCTTAAACACTGTAGGACCAACACCTCGGCCGTGGCAGATCATTGTTATAATTCAGTAGGCTCACATGACATTGACTTCTCCAAGACAGAGGTTCTTTGCAAGCCATCTGGCTACCATGAGAGATTCGTTATGAGGCTATCCACATATGCAAACACAGAGACAATGTCAACCGAGAAGATGGATTCTGGCTTAGCAATCATTGGAAGGATTTGATAAACCAGTTCGGGTCTTAAATGATTGTTCACGCTTACGGTGGCTTTCAGACAGCATACATTAATTTTTCGTCTCCCCCCCCTCTTTTCCGAACATAGATGGACTAGTCCTTCTAAACAAACTGTCAAATCCCTATCCGTGGTGCTAACGTTTAAAAATAAATAAATGAAAACCGCCACTTCTTTCAAATGTTTCTTGCCATTGGTTTTCACACCTGACGATGACTGTTTATGTTACAGTCGAAACGTCGTGAGAATTTTATTGTTTAATATATATTTTATTATTTTATTGTTTCCCTTCAACGTGACTTTACCGAAATAACCAAGAATATAATTTTTTATTAATTCCAGGAGTGACCATTTGGGAGTTGATGACCTTTGGAGGGAAGCCTTACGAAGGTATTCCAGCCAGGGATATCCCTGAGCTCTTGGAGAAGGGAGAGCGGCTACCCCAGCCGCCCATCTGCACCATCGATGTCTACATGATCATGGTGAAATGTGCGTTTCCACACGTGTGTGCGCACGCGTGTCTGCAAAACACAACCTGTGTGAGACACTTGGCTTGTTACAGATACATGCCACATGCTTAAAGCTATAGCAATCACACACATACACTGCTGCATTTAAACACAACTACACTCGCACATACACTGGAGTTATTGAGATTGTATACACACCCACTGTTTACAAAGGAATTTTTTTTCTTTCAATATTGTATAATGATATGCCTTTGAGCTGCCATTGTGGTCCTTTAAATGTTTGTAAATGTAGCAATTGGTTTTGTTATACAGGCCGTTTGTGTAGTGATTTAATGTGTTTAAATAAGTCACTTTTAGCGTCGATAGATTACACGAATTATGAAGCTGGACCCACATGGCCAAGTAAATAACTTTATGCAACCATTGCCCCCTTCAAACATCCAACAGCATCCCCCTTAAAGTTGAGCATGATTGAAATAACACTTGCAAGAGAATATCAATGCTATAACATACAAATCGATATCGTAGACACTCATCGCTCTTACCATAAGTATTCAGTTTCATCCTCATTGGTATCTCATCCTCATTTGTATCCATACCATGTCATCAACAACGACAACAACTTCCCATGTCGTTGACTGACACATAAGTGTGAAAGCACTTTAAGAACATACTTTAAAAATAAATCACGAAAAAACAACACTGATGTGTAATTCATAAGAGGTGTTTTTTTGGGTTAGATCGTGTAAATATGTGTCATTAAACCCACTACCACCCGACATAGCCAGCTAGTAAGGGTCGTCACATAAACAGAACATGCCCATTCGTTACTAGTACAGCACAATGGTGTGTTGGAGAGCCAAGCCACAACATTTACAATCTTAGTTCTCAGATATACTGATAGCACAATGGTTACGCACGTACAATCTGAGTACTCAGATTTGGCATGTTCTGTTTACGTGACAACCCTTACTAGTTGGCTGTGTCGGGTGGTAGCGGGTTTAACGACACATTTATATATTTACGCGATCGACCCCAAAAACAAACCTCTATTATGGATGATATTGGTCGCAAAAGCCGAAATGTTAAACTGACTGATGTGTAATTGGTATTCAGTTAAGCATGCAGTATTTGTCACAGTTTAATATCGGCAATTACTTGTAAAATTAAGTCATTTTTTAAAAAGGGAAGTTAATGGGTTTATACTCATTGTCTCTGGTTAACACCAATTGCACAAGTGCTTATATCGTCTGTGCTTCATTACCTAACTTTTAATTATTTTTTTCTAGAATTAATTGCTTAACAGCTCACGTTGTAATTACGTGGTGCATTATTTCCACCTGCTACAGTACATTTAATGTGCGTGCCTCTAAAAAGCATTTATTGGAGGATTTTATAACATGTGATGCCCAGTTTGTAGCCATACAGTAAATGCACGCATTACCTTCTCAAACTCATTTTAGGCGGCATTTCTGCAAATGTTATCTGCAGTTCAATAAAGTTCACAGCAGGGCTTGTGAAAAAAGAGCACTGTGTGATTCTAAGTTATTATGTGTGAAAACTCTATAGCAGCCCAAACACAAAGGGGATGACTTTAAACCTCAGTGCATCGCTAAGACTTGTGTTTGCACTGCTGTTGCTTGGCAATATAGCATTGCACCCTGTTCTTGTCCTTGACAAATCTGTTTTTTTTATTGCACCTTGGTGGTGTTTAAATGTGCATTGTACCCTTCAGATATACTGATAGCACAATGGTTACACACGTAGATCTTGAACATTGGCTTGCACGTTGTGATTTTAGTAATTTCGGTATTGGTAGAATGTCCATTTCTTTGCAAGGCATGCCATATGGAAGCTTGTTTCACCCTAGATATTTGAAATTCTGCAAATTGCATTGTCATAAACATTTACTGTCTTCTTTCACATCCAAAATTGTAAGTGCTAAACTTCATTTGTTTAACAAGAGCAAATGTTTACGAGCCATTCGTTTTTTTTGGTTCGAATACTACAGCATAATTGTGGCTGTTTGTAAAGTTAAAGCTCTCCTGGACATGTTCTAAAAACTACAATAAGAAATCGTCTATGAACCATACAAAATAAGTGATATTTTCCAAAATCTGAATAATAACACTTATTCTAGCAGCTAAAAGGCTTTTGTTTAAGGTGGTAGACCTTGAATGGATTTACATTTTCTGAATGTCATCAGCAGGTTATTCCATGTTGAGCATATGTTGCTTGGTTGCCTGGTGTGGTGAGCAAAAGCCTGCATAGCAATGTGGCGCCCATTCAGCACAACACTGCAAAATTGTACAATAGTTATAAACTATACTTTTTTCATGATAATTATTTATATTGCTTCTAATTTATATCCACGTCCTATACCGCTAAAGTGTAACATTGGCATATTATTATTCACAAATATACATTAAACTACAAACCACGATCTCAAGTCTTGACATTTAAAGTTATATTGAATACATTTTATTTCGTATAGGCTTTAAACTTATTCAAAAGCCCTCGAAAAGGAACAATTGATTTGATGTTATTTTTAACGCACAGCACATTCATTTTACGGGTGCAATCTCGATTGTGCTTATGTTGACAACTTTTCTGCGCTCAGGCTGGATGATTGATGCGGAGAGCCGTCCACGATTCAAGGAGCTGGCTGTGGAGTTCTCCAAAATGGCTCGAGATCCTCAGAGGTACCTGGTTATTCAGGTCAGTCGCTCCCCATCACAAACATGGACATTCGTATTGGCCACCATCATTTCCCATTTTCCTGTTAGCGTGGCCCAGCTGACGGACGCCGTGGTGCTTTGTGGGGGGTGAACAGGGCTCCGAGGCAATCACACCCGCTTGCTGCCATCAACAGCGCCTAAGGCCAAGAATCGCTTTCCTTAGCACCACTTAATTCCAGCAGGGATAACAGTTTATTAAAGTGCCTTGTGCAGCTTTTAACTCTTTCATTTAGGTGTCTTCTGGGGCAATCTGAAATCTAATTAAAAACTGCTTGCATATCAATTTACAGCTGAATACATTGAAAAGGATTTGCATGTGGCATCCTATGCACAGCACAATTAATGAATAATAACTTTTCAGTCATTTTTATTAAGCTGAAGGAGCCTCATTTAAACAGTTTTATTTCCATTTTCTTTTTTCACACGTGGATATACATTTCTTTTTAATCGAGACGAGAATTAAGCAGAGTTAAGATGCCCCTTCTTGTATGATTTTATTAGGAAATCATATTTCTGCCAATGAACCGCTTGGCATGAAATATCTTAAAAGGACCAAACATGAACATTTCTGTGATGTATTGTATACATATTTAATGCATTGTAGAGTATAATGGTTAATATTTAAGGTTAAAAATCTACTTCTTTGCATGAAAATACAATAAAATTGTCAGCAGCAGAATTCTCAGTGGCATTCATTATGCATAGTGCAAGGCCGGAATTTGAAGCGATAGAGAGTGCCAGTGAATACATTATTCAGAGCCATCTTCAGTCGGAGGCTGTAGCATCAAAGATGCATTTATACATGCCTCGGTACAGCACAATAAGGGCTAAATAGGCTAAATAGCAATATGAGGCTTGGTGCTTTTGTCTAGTATACCAATTAGCATATACGCTTAGGCTTATATAATAAAATTAAAAATATTCGTTTTAAACAACATTAACCATTATTGTATTTTTTGGTGATTTACAGTGAGGGTAAAACGTATTTGATCCCCTGCTGATTTTGTACGTTTGCCCACTGACAAAGAAATTATCAGTCTATAATTTTAATGGTAGGTTTATTTGAACAGTGAGAGACAGAATAACAACAAAAAAATCCAGAAAAACGCATGTCAAAAATGTTATAAATTGATTTGCATTTTAATGAGGGAAATAAGTATTTGACCCCTGTGCAAAACATGACTTAGTACTTGGTGGCAAAACCCTTGTTGGCAATCACAGAGATCAGACGTTTCTTGTAGGTGGCCACCAGGTTTGCACACATCTCAGGAGGGATTTTGTCCCACTCCTCTTTGCAGATCTTCTCCAAGTCATTAAGGTTTCAAGGCTGACGTTTAGCAACTCGAACCTTCAGCTCCCTCCACAGATTTTCTATGGGATTAAGGTCTGGAGACTGGCTAGGCCACTCCAGGACCTTAATGTGCTTCTTCTTGAGCCACTCCTTTGTTGCCTTGGCCGTGTGTTTTGGGTCATTGTCATGCTGGAATATCCATCCACGACCCGTTTTCAATACCCTGGCAGAGGGAATGAGGTTCTCACACAAGATTTGACGGTACATGGCCCCGTCCATCGTCCCTTTGATGCGGTGAAGTTGTCCTGTCCCCTTGACAGAAAAACACCCCCAAAGCATAATGTTTCCACCTCCATGTTTGACGGTGGGGATGGTGTTCTTGGGGCCATAGGCAGCATTCCTCCTCCAAACACGGCGGGTTGAGTTGATGCCAAAGAGCTCCATTTTGGTCTCATCTGACCACAACACTTTCACCCAGTTGTCCTCTGAATCATTTAGATGTTCATTGGCAAACTTCAGACGGGCATGTATATGTGCTTTCTTGAGCAGGGGGACCATGCGGGTGCTGCAGGATTTCAGTCCTTCACGGTGTAGTGTATTACCAATTGTTTTATTGGTGACTATGGTCCCAGCTGCCTTGAGATCATTGACAAGATCCTCCCGTGTAGTTCTGGGCTGATTCCTCACCGTTCTCATGATCATTGCAACTCCACAAGGTGTGATCTAGCATGGAGCCCCAGGCCGAGGGAGATTGACAGTTCTTTTGTGTTCCATTTGCGAATAATTGCACCAACTTTTGTCACCTTCTCACCAAGCTGCTTGGCAATGGCCTTGTAGCCCATTCCAGCCTTGTGTAGGTCTAGAATCTTGTCCCTGACATCCTTGGGGAGTTCTTTGGTCTTGGCCATGGTGGAGAGTTTGGAATCTGATTGATTGATTGCTTATGTGGACAGGTGTCTTTTATACAGGTAACAAGCTGAGATTAAGAGCACACTCTTAAAGGGAGTGCTCCTAATCTCAGCTCGTTACCTGTATAAAAGACACCTGGGAGCCGGAAATCTTTCTGATTGAGAGGGGGTCAAATACTTATTTCCCTCATTAAAATGCAAATCAATTTATAACATTTTTGACATGCGTTTTTCTAGATTTTGTTGTTATTCTGTCTCTCACTGTTCAAATAAACCTACCATTAAAATTATAGACTGATCATTTCTTTGTCAGTGGGCAAACGTACAAAATCAGCAGGGGATCAAATACTTTTTTTCCCTCACTCTATATGTGTTCTTTAATGTGCCTTTTGTGAAATTTCCTAATTGAGTTAATGTACTTACGAACATAATTAGCAACATCTCTATTTATTTTGAAGAATTTGTTTCCACATTTATGAAAACTGAGGGTGAAATGCAATAAAACATCAGAATGGGGGACTTTAATGAGAAAGTCGGTAGAAAGTGTAGGTATGACTCGATGATTGCTAGGTTTGACATTGCAGTGTGAAGTGAAATGTTACTCGAGTTTGCAGTCAGGAAAGACATAAAATAATGAACACCTTTAAAGAAAAATGAACGTGGAGTAGTTCAGATGGTGAAATTAGGAATGAGGTTCACCTATGTCTCATGAAATTTATACTTGCAGACATCTTTACCTTCAACAAATTCAACATAAGAAGAACATCCCAGCTGCTGTTCCACTTCAATATAACCAAATAGAGAACAAAGCTTATTAATGGTACAAATAAGATGATAAACGTCAAATATCTATGTTAGGATGTATCTCATTTTGGACTAACTCTCAGTAACACATTAAAATACCTAGATCAGCAAATTCATGAAATGGATTTCACCACTTAAAATAATGCAACCACAAGCAATGTTATTGATAGTGCATTGAAAGTGAAGGGGAAAATTGGAAATCAAACAAATCATCTGAACCCACAAAAGACATGTTGAGGAAGAGGATAGATATCATAAGTGATGGAGATGCTCAACAAAAGGATTGAATAGACAGAACTGTGTAAAATGATTAGCGTCGGTTTTCTCTCGGTATCCTGGTTTTATCCAAAAATCCAAATACAGCACCACAGACAAAGGTCAATTGTTGGCACCTGTTCTGGCTGCCTTGTCGCTTATCTGTAGTTTCCCATGCCTCCATGCGAAGAATGTGTGTAACATTACAAATTGTAGAGCATTTTCTAGAGTGTTAGATGAAATACATAAATTATATATGTATATATACAAATTAAACATTACCATTATTATTATGAGTAGCAACATGATGGGACATAATGGCCACCATTCTAGCACCCTAACCATTGACCACCACCGATCCCCCACTAACCACCATCCCCACGCCATTGCGCTAAAGCAGTGACCCCCCCCCCCCCCGCCGCGAGAGACCCCCGACAATGCGACGCTGTGACAGCAGGGCCCAGTGAGATGCTCGGGCACCGTGATGAATAAGTGGCAAGGCCCCACGAGAGTGGCATGGCCAAGTGGTAGCCCCCGTTGCCGCTTGTTGCGGGGCTGCGCAGTTCCAGCCCAGCGGCCGCCCTGGTGTGCTGTCTGCTTCCCAGTTGACGGCAGTTAATGGTGAATGTCCATGATGTTATTTAAAAAAAATCTTAGGCCATGCTCTCCAGCGTCAAGTTACAATTTTTGGTCTCCAAATTTGATCAACTACTTGCAAATTGTATGTATGTTAAACTTATTTCGCACCATATGAAAAAAAGTTTATTGGAAAACGAAACACATGCAGCATTGCCCACTTCTGGTAGACTAAAGCCCATTTATTAAGGCCATTGGCTGTCAACCTTGTTCTGTACAAGGGACAACTGCAACTGTGGGTCCCCTTGGTCAGATGATATGTGATGTCAGGTGCTCTGAGTTGGATTTATTATCATTATCAGGCATGGTCAATCCACTGTTGGATGAAGGCCTATCCAAGCCACCCTCATCTTCCATGATCCACCTTGCACCTGCGCGTGAACTGATTTCATCACTTCATCTCCCTAGTGCACGTCCTCTTGGACGCATTCCATACCTTGGCTGCCACTCAACCAACATTCCTGACCATCAGCTATTGTCCCGTTGAGCAAAGTACTCTGCACAAGACAACTTATTTTTCTATGAAGCACTCTACAAATGCAACAGCATATCCACATCCATGCCATGGTATAGAAACAAACAGCATGGTCCTGGGAAGAATCGTCACACACGATGCAGTCACAGCAAGGCCCAGCAGCAGTCCTCATACCACAATGTCGTTTTTTGTACACTTGAGTCATTTTAAACACTGTGGCATTCTCGATGTAGCACATCAGGTGATGGTAATGTGAGTTTCAGTTTTTATAAGGGGTAGTTTGTATCCAACTATCTAGCTGTTGCATGCTGTGCATGTCAATAGTTGGCTGCAAAGGTTCAGGAATTCATGCTCAGACTTGAAACACTTCAAATTGAATCAGGGCTGAATGTCTTTTTTATGACAAATCCAGTGTCCGTGACACAATTATTTTAACTGTGCCAGTTGTTACGCATGTATCAGCTGTGTAATCATTGAGACAATGTAATTGTCCCCTACGTAAAAGATGCTTCACATGAAGATTGTTAAACTCGCTGTCTTATATCCGGCCATATAAGGCAAGGCTGGAAAGATATCTTGCATTATAAAATGTGGCACTGCCAAATTTTATGGTTTTAGGGTTGGCTGAATAACATTCGATTTCCCTATTTTCTTGATAAAGATTGGCAGTGTCTACATTAGTCTAATTTGACTGCCTGTGACGATCCAATCACCAGGTGACTGTATTTTTATTGCTATTTTTATCATATCACAGGTGAATGCAGATTACGTTTAACCAGTGCCAGAATTTCTGATAATTATTATGGTAAGGAAATGGTACATTCACAAATAACCAATTACATAATATAAACATAATTAAATGAAGTGATTGAAATACTTCATAAGACCACGATTTAAATAAATCACAGATTTGTCTCGTTTTATTTTTCAATATGGTTATACCTAAATAAATGTTTTGTTGTTGCATGATTTATACTCAGAAGAGATTGTAAAATAATCATAATCCTCTACTCTTGTTACTTTTATGGCATTTTGTTGAAATGTTTTGCCTTACTTTTACCTTTTGCAAAGTCCAAGGCTGGTCTTAATCTCGGTCATTTAAATAAGTTTGTTTGAAAACAACTTCTGACCAGTGACTTATGAACCACAAGTCAAAGGATTGGAACATAACAAACTACCTGCCATATGTATGATCAATTAATCTAAATATTGTTCATTTTATATTTGTCTTGGTAATGCAAATGCCAAGTTTAATCCCACTGAAGTAAGTAACAGTTAAAGTAAATCAGTTATCTTGTATATGTTTAAGATACAAATTTAGACAAAAGTTGCATTACTTCTGGCGTTTTTTTTCAAGACGCAATTATTTAAGTGTATCATGCGATTGATACCATGTGATCTCGTTAAAGGTGGCATTTTTACAAACTTACATAACGGTATGGTATCTGCATATTCGATTTATTCGAGTATTTAGCTGTGATACATTTCCACATGATAAGCCACTTCGTTGAGCTATCATTTGTGGCCAGGTCGCTTATGAAAAATAGTTATTTCGCTCAGTGGGCCTAGCATGATGAAATAAAAACATGTTTTAGTTTATTTTGTAGTTTATACCTCTTATAACATGTCTGGTCAACGAGGAAAAGTGGACCAAATTCCCTCTAGAATTCGCTCTTGTGGAATCCATTTCGCCAGTAGTGGCTTGAGCTAGCAACCATAACCTTGTTACTTCGGTTTGTTGCCAAGTGCCAAACATTCAACAATGGAATTGGCCATACATTCACATTCAGGACCCACCTGAAAGAGAGACTGGAGACCCAGTGAAGCTTTGTTTGGGTAAATAAGTGGCACATTACCATTGTGCATGACCTTTACTGACTTGTGATTCCTGTGCTTCCATCCCCGGACCCTCACAGGGTGATGACCGGATGACGCTCCCCAGCCCCTCGGACAGCCATTTTCTGCAGAGTCTGCTTGCCGAGGAGGACATGGGTGACATGGTGGATGCAGAAGAGTACCTCATGCCTCAGCAGAACTTCTTTGGAGCCAGTGGGGAGAATCACAGTGGAGAATCTGACAAGGTACCTCTCCATCCAAATCAAGATTGTGTTCTGCTTGTTTCATTTCCCCTCCTCTCGTCTTGCAAAGACGAATGGAGGTAAAATAATAAATATGTGGAGAAATGCAAAAACCGTGCAAAATACTGTGATATTTTAAATATAAATTAACTTACTAATCTTGCAGACCCACAGTATACATTTTACATGTATATGTGTACATATGAAACTATTAAATAATTTAAACAAACGATCTTACGGTGCTTTATCAATCGATTACTCTATAGCATCCCCATGCTATGTCAATCATTGGGTTTTATCTTTAGGCCATGCTTCACCATACTGGTAAGTGAGGCTTCTTAAAGGCTAGAAGCACCAACATTGGTTTCATTTCACTCACCACTGACGTTATTCGTGGCTGGGAATCGAACTTAGATTGCTGGGTTCAGAATGCAGTGTGCCAACTACTGTGCCACTACTGTGTTCATTTAACCAGTATGAACTAAATAAATAAAGTGTGGAATGTTTTTTTTGTGTAGAATTTTTTCCTTATTCTGTAAGATAAACAGTTTCATATGACACTGTAATTAGTGTACAATACCTTAAGTAAAATATATATTTACCCTACGGAAAATCCTCAAAGTTATAACACACCCTCCTTTGGACACTGCCCTGCTTCGATATATTGATGAATACATATTAATTTCTCATTGTCTCATCTATATGTATTTTGTCTACGTTCATCATTACTTCTCGTTGAGATAAGTTGTATTTTACATTGTTCTTAAATGTTTTTTCACCAAGGTAACATTCATCCACGCTTAAAATGAGTGCAGTGGTGATGCAATGAAGAGGGGGGGCTACACCCCACCCCGTACAACCTCAACACCTGGCTCGTTTGTGAGCAGTGAGGACTCTCAAGGAGTACGGAAACCAGCTCAGAATAATGGGGCCTGTCGATTAATGTGGAGGTTTCCTGTACATTTCGTGGCGAGGTTGGGTGAAACGACTTTAAACGTTCAGAAAAGAACACGGAAATAGAGTGTTGTGCAGAAGATCTATTCAGAAAAAAATTGTGATAGCAAGGTATACGTGCAGGATGGAGGAGGCATATTACCAAGGCAGGCATTGGAGTGGGTGCCCAAAATAAACCAATATGAAGACTGAATGCCAGATGATTTACGATTGGAAGAGTAGACCTTGAAGGTCTTCTGTTAAATATGCACATGCTGTGGAATCTGACAGAAAAGCAATAGGCTTAGGGTTGTGTGGTGGCATCAACAACACTGGCTGTGATGACCTCTGACTGGCTATCCTGCCCATGCTGAGGAGCTCCCTCCAAGTGGGAAGTGCATTGGCGAGGGGTCTGGGAGGGGGAAGTGGGAGAGAGCGGGGATATCCTTCCTTGGGCCTTGGAGTAGTCGAATTGCCACTGCATTAGCATATTGGGAATTTAGGGTTTTCATTCTTTGTGTCTGTATAATCCTATTCCTAAGGCATGGCTACAAGTACTGGCACAAAATATATCTTGAGTTCTCAGCTGGTTAAACAGAATAAACAAAAAACGAATGTTCTCTTTCTTGAGAGCAACCTTGGGATGAGTTCTGCAATTATTGTGTCATTCATTTTGGCCATCACAAAAATGTGCATATGATAAATTAATACATCCATGTCCTGTAATATTACATTATTTACATTTACCTGAAATAACTCATTAATCATGGCAGAAAACACTGCTTTAAAAATGTTTTACATTACATTTGTTCCAACGTATTATCACGTGTATTTGTACATTATAAAGACAATATCCCTTGAAATATACAAAAGAATATCCTAATTTTAAAAATGTAAGCTTTCTTGAGAATGTAATGACTCTTGTATGTTTTTCTCTTATTTCATATAACTCCTTACTCTGTGGATGCTGCTGCCGCTGCTTCTGGTGCTGAAATTTTATGAAGTCTATCATGAGCAACAGCTACAGTGTCCATGGCCCTGAGTCCATCTCAAATATTTGCGTAAGTTTTGCATATTCTCTACAGTGTAATGCATTTTATGTGACTAAGACTTTTACACAATCATGTATCGCACAGGTGAGCATATGTTACTCCATGAATGCTTTGTACAACTTAATTAACTTGGTAGCACATATACCTGATTGCGGTTTTTGCATTAAAACAAATATAGTTTGGGAATAAATGTAAACACATTCATGTTCGATTAATATATATTTACATGTCTGTTCTATGCTCAAATGCTTTTGGAAATGCCTCCGCTTTCATCACCTTAGCATACAGAGTGCAGCGAGTGTCAATGCCAACAAACGTGGTTTGCTATTGTGCACACTGCATAGTCTATCGTGGAGGGGTATGTACCACTGCCGAGCATAAACCATCACGCGAACTCTGATCATCTTAACATTCGTTTTTGGTGGCTAGCCCTCGAACAAACACGGTCACTGTATCGCGTGCTTTCAGATGTCCATCTGGAACGCTCTTCCTTCCGATATTAGGAAGCTACTGGCGCTATGCACTTTTAAATCTCGATTGAAAACTAATTTCTTTATTCATTATGAAGGTTTTTGGGTTAGATCGCGTTATTTATAAATGTGTTGTAACCCTCCACCACCCGACATGGCCAATCAGAAAAAAAAGTGTCACGTTGACAAAAGACAATTAGTTCACTACTTTAGCCCACCGGTGTGTTGAAGAGTGAATCCACAACATTTACAGTTTGAATACGACGTTTCGCTGGTAATTACATCCAGCATCATCGGGCAATTCACCAGAATGGTAAAGCCCTCACCTGCTCCCGGTCTTAAATAGAGCAGCAGGGTGACGTCATCATGTAACTCATTCAGGTGCAGTAATTATATCATTGATTGGTAATCAGTCAATGATTATGATAGTAATGAGTTGTAATGTGTGTTATTGTGAATATATGCTACGTTAGTAATCCGTTAATTAGTATGTGTTTCCCCTATAAGGAATTGTAATATGTATTATTTAATAATGCGCTTCCAAGCCGCACTAAGCCTATCGCTATGAGAGCGATTAAAGTTATTTTTATTTCCCTCAATTTCAATGGATTCTCTAATTAGTCTTTGCCAGTAATAATTAGTTTTACACAACACTTCAACGTTATCAAATCAATTGAGCATCCTTGTTGACAAGCATGTTCTGCCACTGCAGACAGTTGTATTTGAGATAATTTAATATTTCTTTGGTGTTCTTTTAGTCTTATGCTGATGTTAGGTCCCGTCTGTCCAATATAGCATCTGCCACATAAACAATTAATCCGATATACACTTTCTGTTGATAATTTAGGTAATTTGTCTTTAGTGCAAGAAACTAGTTTTTGAATTTTGTGTACTGTACCAAATCTTACTGTAATGTTTTGCTTTTGCAAAACACGGGATAAACTGTCAGTTACTCCTGAAATATATGTTATTTTAATTGTTTTAACAATCTGATCGCTTTCAGCAGTGTTGCTTTGCAATCGTGATTTGGCATTCAGTGCTCTGTTAATTTGAGTATTATTGTAGCCATTCTGTCGTAATGCTTCTTTAACGTTTTTGATCTCTCTCACTAGACTTTCACCATCTGACATTGTTTTAGCCCGATGTATGAGCGTCTTGATAGAAAGAAGATTTCTGAGCTGGATGATGATGCGAATCTGCATTCAGATAGGCATCAGTGTGTGTTTGCTTTCTGTAAACGCTGTGTGTTATTTTACCGTTTAGGCCATGTCCAAGCAAAATATCTAGGAACGGGAGTGTGTTATTCACCTCCATTTCCATGGTGAACTGGATGGCTGGGTTTTGTGCATTGAGGTGATTTAGAAAATCATTAAGAGTATCTTTACCATGTGGCCAGACAACCAAAGTTTCATCCACATATCTAAACCAAAAAGATGGTTTTAATGTGCTCGAGGCAAGTGCTCTTATTTCAAAGTTTTCCATGTACAGATTTGCTATAGCAGGAGATAAAGGAGAGCCCATGGCTGCTCCTTCCTTTTGTTTAAATAAATCCCCTCTCCATGAGAAGTAAGTGTTATTTAAACAATGGTCAGCAAGTTTCGGAATATCTTTTGGTAAACCTGTATTCTTTACTAGTGTATCAAGTAATTTAAGCGATTCGTTCACTGGAACCTTAGTGAATAGAGAAATCACATCAAAACTTACCAGAATATCATTAGGATTAAGTTTAATATCTTTAATCACATTCACAAGATGTTCTGAATTTCTTATGAATGAAGATGTCCTACCGATGTAGGGCTGTATTTGTTTAGTTACATATTTTGCTAATTTATAAGTGGCAGAGCCAATTGTACTGACTATGGGTCGTAATTGGATGCCGATTTTATGAATCTTTGGTAGCCCATACAGTCTAGGTGGTTTTGAGGCCCTTGGCTTAATTTGGTGTTGATCATTCTTAGGGATTAATTAACTTGCAATTATTGCAGTAGTCTTACATTCTAAAGTATTAGTTGGATCTCGTTCCATTTTAATGTAGGTACTTTCCTCTCGTAAATTTCTAATTTTATTAACACGTAAGTTTTTGCGGCCAATATTATTCATAATAAAGGTTTTTGGGTGAGATCGCGTTATTTATAAATAAGCCTACGTGTTAAACTAATTTCTTTATAATAACTTTTTTGTTTAGTTTATTGTCCTTCCCCTGCACCTCCGATTAGCATGGTTCGGTTACATACGGTACGAAAGAAGTTCAGCATACCTCCATACAAAAGCAACATGCTGATCGTGAAATGCAATGAAAACTAAAATCTTATGTAAAATTACGTACATTTTTACATGATCTCAGTTTCACCAAGTCTGGTATTTTTTTGCTGGCGGATTGGATATTGTATGCACAGCTGCAACCGTAATTGTTGTTGTCACTTTGTATTAGTGTTCAAACACTTCCATTGGCTACGTTCTTGAAACTGATCATTTAGGTTGCAGCTGTGCATGCAAACGTACATCAACACTATCAAATTAGATTGTTGAGCATAGCATAGCAAACTTATTAATGTTGGATGTACCCACCTGAAAACACAGTCTCTGCAGGACTAGTCTCTATTTAAAGAAACATTTTAAGTTCAATATCGGTCCTGTTATACTGTGTATTGTAAAGATGTATATTATATTTTTTTATAATCAATAATTAGCTATTATAAAGTGTAAGTAATGAGTGTTTGAATTTTTCCATATATTTGAGTTCGAATGTAAGACATTTATACGATCTTAACTGTCGTAACAATTTCATGTCAATCAGGCTTAAGGGGTAAATTATGCTGTTTCGTATTAAACCCTGTTTTCCCAGTGATGTTGCATGCTCTCAACATATTGTAATTCTACATTTATATTTAAGATCAATACACATTTGTTTTTAAACATTTGCATATTTGAGGGCTCAGCATATTTTTCACAAGTGCTACGGTTATGAATTTAAATTGAGACTAACTTGCTTAGGCTGCACTTGAGAATGGAGTCCAAGACACTTTCGGGTATGATTTTGGAATCACTTAAGCGGATGTTTCTTTCACCTCTGGTTGCACTTCCTCAGAATTATTACATTGGCATTATAATGTCGTATATGTCAATACTAGACTATACATTTGTGGTGCTCAATTGGTGTTAGGTGCTTCGTGGCAATAAAATATTCAAGTAGTTTTTTGTATGATCTACTTTGGTTAAACTACCTATGTATTTTCAACTGCCATTTGTATAATGGGGCATTTGTCCGCGTGTTTGTGCCTGCATGTCTTTCCGCCTATCTTACAAACTCTCCCTCGTGACTTTGCATAACTAAATTCACCATATTCATATTTTACACTGTCTTGTAGAAAAATGTATACCCTGAAGAATACTGTACTCTAATCCAGGGCCACTGCTTTAAATGTTTTTAGAGACATAATTATGTATTATGATTCATAGTCGATGTTTGGGTTAGGCCACGTAAAGATCAGACCAAATTGAATCAATAATCACTCCATTAAACGCTTGTATGCATGACAATTAGGTTTGTTTGGCTTTGTCGGGTGGTGGAGGGGTCTGAATAACAGAAATCTGGCCAGATCATTATATGGTGATATGTTTTTTTTTTATTATAGTTTTTGTTCTCTCAGCAATGTAAATATGGTGCTTATTATTTTGTTCTGATTATAAAAGGCATCTCTGGTCCTTTTTGCAACCCCACATTTGGAATGTTTTTTATTTTCATGTTTCTATGCACCAATGCACTAGATTGTGAAATAACACTTCCTTGGATAATTGCTCTTATTGTAAGGCCATTTTAAGTGATCCTCTTACATTCGTACAATCGAATGAAGGAAGATTGGGGACGATTAGAGAAGGGGTAAAAGCAGTGAAGCAAGGCTTGGAATGTGGGAAGAATAGCAGTCTGAATAGAGCAGGGATGATTATAAACTACATAAGGAAAAGAAGAGCGAGGAACCACATGGAAATTATTTGCTGGTTGAGCTAAAATATGCAGTGTCGACTTCATATGTTACATTTTATTTTCGTTACAGCAATATGAGCAAATAGCATCAAGTTACATAACCACATCCTTTTATAAACACAAGGCAAGCAGTAATCTCAGACAGGGTTTTAGAAATAGCTTGGTACAGCTTGTTTATTTGGCTGCTATCAATTTCCACATGATAAGCCACTTCGTTGAGCTATAATTTGTGGCCAGGTGACTTCTGAAAAATTGCTATTTAGCTCAGTTGGCAAAATAAAAAATAGTTTAGTTTTAGTTTAGTTTCTTTAAAACCAGAGTCCAATAAATTATGTTCCTTTAAAGCGTATTCTGCTACTCAAACCCTTCCGCTCTGAGATACTCGTTCTGGGATGGTAGCAGCGTATTTCTCAGTTTTTTTAAATATTGCTACACTTTTACAGTCATGGTGAGGAAAGACGCCACGGAAAATTTACGTCCCGCTAACAAAGCGCGCTGTCTGTATAACCCGCAGACATTCTGTCTGGGGGCCTTAGACCAGCCCCCTTGTTGTGCCTACCGAAGCGTTGAATCACATTTTTTTTTATGCAACAACAAAAACACATAAGCCTACATGAACAAAAAAGAGCCTTGAGATTATACAGTGCCACATTTCTTTTCAGAGCTTCATGGTTAAAGCAGCCTCTTGAATGTTTGCTCTCAAAAGGCACTTTGTCTGAATCGTTATCAAAACGTAAATTGGAAAGAAAGTGGAACAATGGCAGTCTGCTCTCAACAGCACTTTTGAGTTGTTGTCAATGGACCCTTTACACATTGTTATAAAGTGATGACTCACACCATTGGGTGGTGGTGGCTCAGATGCCTGTAAATTAGCACCGTGAAGGAAAACGTCCGTTGATCACGGTGCATTTTTTGTGAAAAGCCTCTCCTATGGGCGTCGAGGTGCCATAGCATGGCTTTCCAGGAGTAGGTGGCACAGATGTGGACTCCCATCTGTTCCATCTGTATGTGATAGTGTTGCCCCCCTCACCACGCGTGTCGATTTTTTCCAAGGGCTCCCGCTTCCTCCCACATACAAACACTCATTAATAGGACATCAGAGCCTGGACAGTTGTCTCTGGCTCACCACGTGACTGTGTCTTCCTGCTCGTGTGTGGTTGCTGCTCTCTGTGTCTCCTTGAGTCGTTCTATGCATTCGAGAATGAATGAATGCTGTGCGCATTGCAACTTGAAATTATTACTATTGTAATGGGTTCAACTGAGTCACAGATGTAGACTTGGAGGCAAAACATTTATTCAGTTCCAACACACGGGGTAACTTCCCCTTAAACAGAATAACAACCTATGGTGGTGACCACCAGGCTAACTACACTAGTTACATCGTAACTGCTACTACGGACTGGAACCAACAGCTTGGGTCCAGGTCCATATGTTGGAGACTCGTTGAACGGAGAACGTAGACGAAGGTTTCTTCCAGGATGAACAACAACCCCGGTCCCTCTCGGGACCCGGCTTATATTCTCTGCAGCGTGGCCGGCTCCGCCCTTGGCCACGACCACCTTCCAGAATCCTCGGGAAGGATCTGCGTCCCAATCACGTGACCACCCCTAGCCCCTCTGGGGGCCCCTTTGTAGACTTAACTGGTCACGTGTCCTCCCGGGTCAACCAGAGTGCCATGTCCTCGAGTAACCTCATCCTTCGGCTGGCACTCACACACTTTGTCCTGTAGGGCCGGCACTGCACACAAAGCGTGGTGCTATCTCGCACTATCATTCAGCGCTCACCGGGCCCCTCTAGGGCCGGTACTACACCCACACCACTGTGGTCTCCGCGATGTCGCTACACCGCACGCCGTGCCCCTCTAAGGCCGGCACTGCATGCAACATGTTGACATCCAGCGATGTCACTACACTATGACTACCATGGCACACTGAGCACCAGTATTTTCATACCCAGTGCCAGTCCAAGAAACAGCACCTGACAGTTATCTCTCTGTCTAATTGCTGCCTGTCAGTTGGGTCACATTTTGCTCAAAAATGTTTATGGTGACCTAAGACAAGAGGTCCATAATTCAATTATTTCCCCTTAACTTGGGTTTAAAAATACCATGTCCGTGGAAAATGCCATTGGCTCGTGCTATTAGAACCTGTCCTGGCCTTCCCCATGTTGATTCACCCTTCAGTGAATATTCTCTCCATTCCTCTTTGTTTTTTTCGGTATAGTCACGTAGAAATAAGAAATAATAAAATTGCATAATAGCGTGTGACGTTTCGATTGCAACACAAGCAATCATCATCAGGTACAGAAGAGATACATTTACGAGAGAGAGGAGACACATAACCACAGATATATATACAGACACAGATACAACAGGGGATACAGAGAGAGATAGACGGGGGGAGCACACTAAATCAAACAAGGTTTAGCAAAATTTGGAAACCATATAACGCAACACAGACGGTCGGTCAAAACACAATTAACGCATGGTCTGGTTGATTACGCTATTTCAAAGATTGCTAAATTGCAAGTTAAGTGTGAAATTTAAATATACAGACCGCATACACATATATAGACATCCAAGCAGAAAGAGCACTGAGACACATGGAGAGAGGCAAGCACACAGTAATCTCTGTGTCAAGGTTTTAAATAGACAGAGAAGGCGGGGCTGAGATGCAATGGGACATAAATTAGCATGACTCGGCGAGACAATGGGACACAAATTAGCATGGAGCATGCAGCAAGGTGCGTCGCGGAGACTGTAACACCAAGGCACAAACACAGGCAGAGACACCACAGAGACACAAACTTCAGTCAAGAAACAAAGGTAGCCACACCAGCAGAGAACACAAAGACACAGACTTCATACCTCCCCGAAGAGGTGGTTGAAACTTGAATTTGGAGCTTTCGTGCAGTCACGAAAGCTCCAAATTCAAGATTATTTCCATTATTTACGTTTACACATAATAAGCACTGGGAGACTAAGGCAAGTAGGTGTGATTGTGGCCACAACATCCTCTTTGTGTGCGGTACTCACCTTAATAGGTGCTCACTAACATAAATTGTCCCAACATTCTATAAAAGGCTCTACGGGGGATCATTTCCTTTCTGTTAATGTGCTTGCTATTGCATTTATTACGTTGTTACCTGCCTGTGCAGTGTGTAGAGATAGTCTTATAATTAGAACCTGTGTAAATCCAATTTATAATGTATTTATGTCACTATTCATGGACTAAAAATAACACAAGTCTATTCTTTTAAAAATACAAAGCATCAGTGGGTTCAGAAAAGTTACCAACAAGATAATGCATCGTTCATTCAATAATAAATATAAGTTTTATTGTCTGAATAATGACCAAATACACCTCTAAGCCGTTCTGTTCCAGTTCGTTGTTGTAACTCTTCAGTCCTTAGCGAATGCAGCAGCAGCAAAATCCTTAAAAATTATGGTGAGTTTGGCAATTTTGTTCTTTTCGATATTTTGATGGGAAAAAATAACTCCATTTCGAGATATCTATTTTTGTGTTTAAAGCTAGTGCCTGATTGTCGACAATGCTAGTAGTGATGCTGTCATTTTCTTAACTGATTGTCAACCGGATTTTACCACTTTATTTTATGCAGAAATTCCAAAATAAACACCAAAACCTTTTTTTGGAGTTATAAATACAAGCAAAGCAAAACTGAATTCTCCATGAACAGTAGTCCAGAAAGTTCCCTGGTCATTCCTTACAGTTTATGATCTTCATTTCATTCTTCCCACCAGAACCTATCAGGACCTTATGCCTCCACATCCTACCTTCCTATGAGAGGAGTAAGTGCTAACGGCTTTTACTGTTGTGCTGACTGCATACTAATAACTTATAATTTCTTTGTGACTGGAGGAGACATTCCTTTATGAATAAGGATGAGCTAATGGATTGCATGTTTATTTATTTTATGGCGAAGTATATCCTTATTATTGTCGAAATATTTCACAGGGAAAATGACCCTGTACAGCTCAAAGTTTACAAAAGTATCAACGATGTTAAATATAAATGTTGGCGAGTAGCTTGTCAGCTAAGGAGATGAAACCCATTTAAATGCCGCCTCAAAGGCGGAAAAGGTCACGCATTTTCCTTTGAACGTACCGTCCCTGGCCTCCTCTCCCTTCCTATATTTGTTTTATTGTCTTCTTCAACGCAGACCTCCCTCCAGCAAGACGACAATGCACAGGCTCAAAATGGGAACCTTGGGCAAAACGGACATCTGGCTCGCCGGCTCTCGGACCAGTCGCGGCAGAGCGAAGCGTCGGTGTGCACGGCGGCCTGCGCATCCTCCGCCTGTACAGCCGCCTGCGTGGCCGCGTGCACGCCGGAGTGCAGCGCCTTCGACGCTTCCTGTTGCGGCGGCGGTAGCCCGATCGCATGCGCTCAGCAGCAGGGTCACAGAGCCCGACAGGACAGCACCACGCAGCGCTACAGTGCCGACCCCACGCTCACGCTTTACGAGGCGGCCGCCCCCAAGGTCGCAGTGCGCCTGGATGAGGAGGGATACGTCCTGCCCAACGCAAGCGGCTCCGTGCCTGGTCAGCACCGCTTTGCGCTGTACTCGCTTGCAGAGGACGTCACATTGTCGTCGGTATAGATTCAGTGACTCGTGTGATCAGTTACCCCTGTTTTGCTTTTTTTAAGTGACGTAATTTATACAATTCTGTTTTACGTAGCTTTGTTCTGTGGATACATATTGAGAAGCCTCTGCTATTAATTTTAATACGTGACCATTTAAATACTCTAAATATCGCTTAATTTACTTTTAAAAAACGCAAGTAATTAAATGGTGGTTTCATTTAGGCCTTCATTCTTTCATTGCATTTCTATTTTAAGAATTTTCGGCTGTACTGATTCATGGGAAATAGTACGTTATTGTTAGGTAATGTGGGGATAGAGTCCAATTGGCAAATATGCCCGGCCTCTAGCCACATTCATTACGTTTCGCTGATCAGCAAACCATAATGAATCAAGTAAATTGGTGATTGATCATTGGCTTCAGTCACATAAATGATACTGTGAGAATTTGGTGGAGCTTGGGCTTATTAATTCATATGTACTGTATCCTCACGCACCATATTTTGAGTCAAATCAAACTATTCCTTTCGACAGTTCATTTCTATAAACAGGGAATGACTGGTACCCTTCAAGCCAGAATTAGCTTTCTCTTGCGCTTTTCTTAGGCGAGAAATATGAATGACATTTTTGTTAACTATCTGGCCAATGTGAAAGTGTACCATTTTTAAATGAGGAATGGCCCATCCTCATCTCTATTAGCCATCTTGACCTACTGATGGAAATAACACATTATTATGGCAGGTTCCATCTCCTTCCCACCAGCCAGAATTTAACTTACCACCAGATAATGCAACGTGCATTCTATAGCACCATCATTTGGCTGTGTGTTGAATAATTTGTACCGATTTGTACTGGGATGATAGTCTGATTGGCTCCTTCCTTGACCATTAAAAGTATATGTTGAGTAATGTATTGATGATTCATGTATTGATGATTATGCATTTTTTTGCATAGATGTTTTGGCAGTTTGTGTGTCACCGTGGAACTTAGAAAATGGTTGACATTTGCTTGTATTGAGAAATCATCAATCACTCATGACAACTAAAAAGTTATTTAAAAGCTCAGTTGATACAACCGAGAAATATACATCCGCAGCTTTGAGAAATACAAGGCCATTATAATTTATCAATCCATTATAAATCCATTGTTATTTAAAAGCCCAGTGGATACAGCCAATAAATATACATACACAGCTTTGAGAAATACAAGGCAATAATGATTTATCAATCCATTGTTAAAAGTTATTCATCATTGTCACTGTAGCCGATTGATTAATTATAGCTCTCTGCCACAAAGTATGAAAGGAAATGAGGCTTCGTCACCTTTCTGCAAGCACCCAATTTTTTTATGGGAACATTTATTCCTTAGATACGTATTTATTTTTCATTAGATGCATTTTGTACTTTAAGGTCTATGGGAAGTTGAGTATTTACAAAATCTGTACCAATTAAATTAGTTTGAAACTGCAACAGAGTGTTAGATTTTTTTTCCTGCCAATCTTAAATATCAAACATTATTTTGCTTGCGAAAAGGATTAAAATATAAATACTCAATTTCATAGATCTAGTATTATCAATGTAGTACCGTATATATTTTGGAAACAATATATTTAGCATTTTATTTTTAGTGTTTTATTTACAACATCATTTTTCTGAACTTATGGCCAACACATATGTTTAAAAATGCTTATATTTAAGATTATGTATTTTATGAATAAAGTGACACTTTGCCAATAATGCCTGCATGAATGAGAAACTATGTTATGAAATGTTCTCTGTTTAGTAGTCAACACAAAATATATTATTGTGCAAATCAGTATAAGCAAGTAATAAAAATTTGTAGGTTCTGATTTATATATCTTGTTTTCCATTTTCAGAATATCTGACACCAATAGAAGACAATCCGTTTGCAGCAGAGGTTTCCACAAATTCCACGGGTGTGGATAACAAGGAATATCACAACGTGACATGGGATAGCCATGGCTCAGCCAATGAGTATCTTAATGAGCCATGGTACATTAACAGCAACCGTGGACTTTTAGATAATCCTGAATACATGGCACGGAACACAATGGCAGCTACTTTACCACGAAACTACCTTTCCAAAGAGCAGAAGTCCGAAGTTCAAAGGACACCGAGTGAATCTAGACAAATCACGAGCGCACCAAATCGAGGAAGCTACAATACCAAGCCACAGAATATGGTTCATAATTTACTGAACCCTGCATACAATTCAAACAAAGTATCCATCCCCAAAAAACATGAAAGTCAGAAAAAATTAACAACTCCTGAAAGCGCAACATCAACAGCATACCAAGCAGTCCCAATATTTAACCCTATAACGGAGTGGAGGCAGCTGTTAATTCCAGCTGCCAGCATCAAAGGAAATACTGCTGTAAAAACACTACATCAGCAGGGTCACCTGATCAATACCATAAATAGTGAAAATCTGGGAGTGAACACAACAAAGCAGGGCAATCAGGGCAATGATCTGACAACAGTCAATCCACTTGTTAGTGTAATAAGCCAGATAAATCCAACTGCTGCCATTGCAAATTATGGCAACCAGATGAAAAAGTCAGCGGGCAAAAGCCACCAAGCACTTGGCACACAGAGCCAGGAAGAGCAAGCTAAACGACCTTCAATCACAGATGTTGCTACCCAAGTAAACATGGTCAGGTTTCAGTCAAACTCGAGCAGCCAAAAACAAAGGCCAACATATCAAAGTAATGTAACCGTGGTCCCCACAAGTCAAGAAACACAGGAAACCAAATTGCCACCATACTACAGCCAAAGTGTTGGCAAATCAGTCGGTGGAAACCAGTCTGGAAATTCAATGGACTATGCAAACCGTTTGATTAAGCCGCCGAGCTATGGAAGCCAGCCCATTTACACATCGACTCAAGATTGTCAAACTGAAGGTCTCCCAAAGATGCCAGGTTGTGAAAGAAAAAAATCACTCTCCTTTGGCAAACCGCAGGGCAAGCCGATATTGCAAGGACACAAGAGCATAGATGTTTCTATTGAGGAGAAACAAATAAAAAGGGCGTGCATTGATGGGAACAAAACCCAAGACCAGGCTCTCCATGGAAAGGATAAAAACAAAGAATTAAATCATGGAAATATAGTCAAGAGCTTGGGGCAGGAAGATGGAACCAGAAAAAAATCCACAGGGAAAGACATTGACGAAACACAACCATCACATCATGAAAGCCAAATGTTTAGGCCCACAGCACTAGGAAACTCCATGGTCATGACACCCTCTAAAGTGGGTCAGCGCATCTACCCAGAAAGCCATGGCAGGCAATGGATAGGTTCACCCAAATGTGGTAAAAATCCCACAAACTCTGCACACCAGAACAACATGGAACCCAACCTATCAAATAAAGCGAAGCAGATCGTTACTACAGCAACCACTGGAAACTGTGTGGTTAATCCACCACACCATGGCGCAAAAGCACCTGGCATGGTCACGGTGGACAATGCAGTGTACTTACAGGGAAGCTTTTCAAACTGGACTCAAAACCAGAATGGACCAGTTGTGAACGGCATGTTGAACAAGAGGCACGATCAACAATTGCAACATGGTAAAGTGCTGCCTTGCTGTAGCACGAATGACACTTTGGTATGATATTTTACTCGTCAAAACCTGTTTGGCTGGACCAAGGTGATGTATGTGTTATCGCAACAAGCAAGGAGATTATGTAAAATACTTGTATCGTCCAATTACCAAGGTTTATTTTTAAACATATGGTGTATATGCTTAACTTAGTACTTAATATTGTACAGTACCACAGCCTGTTACTGCTCATAACAAATATTTTCGTATGTATGTTGGTATTTACTACGTTTTAGGATGACAATGACAATGAAGAGCGATAAGTATGTAATATTGGCAGAAGCGAAAGCCGACATATTAGACTGGCCACGTTCCATAACTGCTGATTAGTTTTCAGAGTGATAATAATTCTAGATAAATCTTAACTTAAAGCTTTCGTGACTGCAGGGATTCCTATTATTTGGGTCTTTTGGTAAAGTCACGTAGATAGGTTGAAAAAAATCAAAAACTACTTTTTTATTTTACTTATTTGTATGTTTTTATTTTTTCAACCTATCTACGCGACTTTACCGAAAGACCCATAGAAAATTGTAGATAATTATATGTAAGTCAGAGAAAGCACATGTAAAATTCAGTCCATTCACATCACTTTATTGTGTAAATTATACGAATGACTGAAACAGGATTGTATATATTTTGTCCATGTAATTAACCTTTATATTAAGAGTCTTAAGCTTTGTTAATATGAAGACGAGATACCTAGTCTGAGCAGAAAGTGTATCAACCAATAGCAGGCAATGCAGCTAATACAATGACTTTTATTTAAGAAACACAATTATACGAACAGGGTGTACAGATTCAGCACACTATAGTAGCAGATGTAGGAAACACTTCTAATGATGGATTTATGCTTGTGTTATGTTAAATGTGAGTAAAAATACAAATGTTGGTGCAGAAACAATATCTGCACGTGCAGATTGTAGTTTGAAGACAGTGACCCATTTATAATCCATGGGTATCTCAGAAGAAACACAATTGATTGGCATGCTGAACATTGAAAAGCCAATTATTACAATCGGTGTCCATAAAGTACTGTATACTATTTTACAGTACAATGTTAAGGCATTGTGAAATAAACCATAATGCTAAGTGTATGCGCACAGCACATTCTACTTCAGTAATTTTTGTATTTTTGCGACATCTTATCAGTCACCATGAAAATCAAAGAGCATACGTGGCACTTTTTTATTTACCAAAAAAGTTACATTGTAATGTGTTGGATTTAAAATATTTGCAATATGGGAACAGAAATGTGTAACACCTGTTAAAATGTTGCTTTAATTGTGATTCACCTTGTAGATGTTTAATTCGCACACACACACAAATGTTTTTGATAACATAAGGATTGTACGAAGAATTTAGGACAGTAAAAATGTTGTCGAGTCTGAAGCAGATTTCACTTGGGGCCCATTAACATTGTTTAATGGCTGGCCCTGAAACCATGATACGTAATATTTGTAGGGCAGGGATGAATGAGTTTGCATAACAATCAAAAACAGTTTTCACGCACAGTAATCTCAAGAGTTCTCTTAGGTCAGTCTCAATCAGAATATTGAAGCCAGCCTAATTATATGGCCAAAAGTGGAAGAGCAATTCTGACAAATGGACCAGGGTAAGTACTACATTTTGCAGTCGTTTATTAATCAGATGTGTCAAAATTTAAATAAAAAGCAGGTCTTTTAACGAAATTGAATACTAGCCAGATAAATGTTTCTCCTGGTGTCCTGGTAACCTTCATATCCTTGTAATACAGGCATATTTGATAAGACTTCCAACAAATGAATACGTGTTTTAACTACAATACAAGAAACAATTTCAGGAATGTGAGATGTTCTTCTGAATCTCAGGCAGATTTTACGGACCATTGCAACGTTTACATTGACCAAATTATAAATTTACAATGTTTAGAATATCTTACAATGAAAGTGTAATATGTGTACATTATTGCAATTAACCAATGAGGCACACGCCTAACATTGAGAGTTGATAAAGTTAGGAGGAAAAAAGTAAAAATAAATAATCCTTTTAAAGTTACCAAGGCAGGCTAAACATCACAGAACTACTCATTGTGTATAATGGAGCCAGATTTATTATTTAAGCATCAGAGCATGTGTAGCATGACTTTTAAAACTGTGTTTGCTATCAATAGATGCTTACATATAAAGCAATACCATACAATACAACCACAACCATTTTATGGAGGGTGGATTGGTGTGTACTGGTATATAAAGTTATTTGTTATGAAAATCGAAATACTGTAATGCTGATAACTATTAATTTCCCATACTTTACATATACCACACTGGACTCAAGTATTGCAGTAGTGTGTGTGCGTGAATCTTAGTGTACATAAAAAATGAACCATACTGTAAAACATTTACGACACAGTTTGTTCATGACAAAAAAACAACTACAAATTTTGACACGCTAAAATGTGTCACATCTCTGTGATACATTGCAATTTTCACAATTTGTTTTATATGAAAACGTTTGTAACTCAACAAAAAAATAAAACCATTCGCAACAATGGCAGCAACAACAGTATGCATACAAATGCTGCCAGGGAGTTCCCAACTACTCGGTGTGCACTGCTGGTCACCGTCCGTGTGTACGCGTCACGTCACGTGACGGCTCTGATGACACTCGTACCCCCCTTTGCTAGCATCGCTGTCTGTGATGATGTGGGCATCCGTCATTAAGGTGGCAATATAATCATTTAGCACAAACCTGTTTTGAAGATGTGAAATATATATATGAACTATTCCTTTGTATTCTGTTTTCTTTCGTTGAAATGGTGGCGAGATGTTAAATACCTCGCCTGGTACGGAGGAGGTCGTGGGTTCGATGCCGAAACCTGACGCCTGCTGTATATTTGCAGATTGGATTATCGCCCTGTTGTCACGTGGATTTGTCTCCGGGTTCTCCTGTTTCCCCTCCACATTAAAAAAAACGTGCGCTTAGAGTATTTGGCTGCTATACATTTTCACATGATAAACCACTCCGTTGAGCTACCATATGTGACCATGTCGCTTCTGAAAAAGAACTACATACAATATATAGCTTAGTGGGCCTTACCTGGCAAAATAAAACAAATCGTTTTTTGTTTGATATTCTATGGTAATAACTTTTTGAGCAGAGTGCGTAACACGAAAATCTTGGACATGTGAAAATCCATTTTATAAATATTTATTTCATAAACTTGGTATATTCTCGTATTAGTACTCTAGAAAAGGTTTCAATGGACAAGCAATTTCGTGTATAAAGCAACTTAAATACTATATTCTTGGTTCTTTCGGTAAAGTCACGTAGAAGGGAAACAATAAAATAATAAAAATATAAAACAAAATTCTCACGACGTTTCGACTGCAACACAAGCAACCATCATATCAGTTATGTTATCACCTGCCACAGTGGTGTTTTGTGGTTGAAGAGGTAAATGCACAAATAATAAGTGCACATGCACACCAATTAATGTTGGCTACCTCTGAGGGACAACATGAAAACACAATTCTACTTGGTCATAATTGCACTCTAAAATTTGTGTAAATGCATACGTGGTTGCAATGAACACTGCAGTAAAAACATTGTCAATTCCCCACAATGGTTTACTTGCATATCATTAATCATGGATTGACAGTGTGGAAAATAGTACTAAATTAAAAAAAAATATATGGTATTATAGTTCACATGTTGGTACCTTTGCCCATTTCCACTTGCACATGTATTCCAATCATTAACAACTATAACTGCAAGGAGTTATGAATTGGGGCTATGCAAGGCGAAACTATAAAAGGACACTGCTAGTGGTGGAGATGTTGTTCATGTGATGTTCCCTGAACCCAGTGACGCGACTTAAATTCGCAGCCATGGCTAACGTTGGTGACAATAACTGAACCAGTCCTGGGCCCCTTCACCGTCCCACGCTGGCCAGCTTGGTGAAGTATGGACGTGCAAGCGCCGTGAGGGATATAGCATGGGGAGATATTCATCCAGAAGATGATCAACAAATGGGTGTAAATTAGAAATCAATATTATTTCTGTATTACGCTACCCAAGTGAGTGACATTTTGTTTGTAATCAATGGGTAATTTACACTTGGATGAGTTTAATGATTTTATTTGCTCCATTCCTTGAGAATATTGCATGAACTTTTGTGCTGGAAGCAAACGTGCTCCAGAAGCAATGTTATCTGTAAATATTAAATCGTATTTTGCGTTGATTTAAAAGTAGCCCAATTCCATTTATAAAACGTTAAACTCTTCCGTTAACAATCACTTCAACGGAATTAACCTTACGTTTTAAATTTCTATCAAGATTTAAGCAATCATTTAATTAAAACAGATGCATAGTGGTACATATTAATTGGATGTATGCCTCTGTGGAAGCCCGATTCACGTGCGATGCAGACACGGTAATTGAGCTAATTTCCACAGCACTCCGTTCGAATTTCCTCTGTACCAATTTACCTTCAAAACAGTGGTATCAGATTTCCTCCAATTCACATATTGCTCGATACTAGATTCCAATTTAAAGCTGTTAATTGGAAGGGTGCCTAAAAAAGAAAATTCTACATTGCATTTTTACTCAGCAATTTAAGACAAGCAACATACGAGGGCAAACATATCATTAACATTCTACCAGCTCAACTTGCATGAAGGGCCTTCAGTTACAATATCAATGTTCTGATTAGCTGTACATTGTGGTTAATATGCTTATATTTACGAATCGACATTATTCATATGTAAAGCATGAATGTGTTGTGATTATACACTTTGGGTGCATGAAAAGAAAAATGTATATCAAAATCCCCCCCAAAAAAGTTAAATTTCTACAACTGCGGACACATCAATGGGTTCTCAGAAGTCTAGTGGGGAAAAAACAAGGTAAGAAAAAATAATCAATATGGTTATCAGAGGAAAGGCTTTGAGTAAGAGAAATGTTGGAACGAAGATATAACAGGTGAGATTGGGGTGGAATGGATATATCAGAAGCACAGAGATTAGTTTGCCAAGATGAACTTATGAAAGGAGAATCACAGGGAAGAGACCTAAACAAAGACCAGTGAAGAGATACAGTGAGGGAAAAAAGTATTTGATCCCCTGCTGATTTTGTACGTTTGCCCACTGACAAAGAAATTATCATAATTTTAATGGTAGGTTTATTTTAACAGTGAGAGACAGAATAACAACAAAAAATACAGAAAAACGCATGTCAAAAATGTTATAAATTGATTTGCATTTTAATGAGGGAAATAAGTATTTGACCCCCTCCCAATCAGAAATATTTCTGGCTCCCAGGTGTCTTTTATACAGGTAACGAGCTGAGATTAGGAGCACACTCTTAAAGGGAGTGCTCCTAATCTCAGCTTGTTACCTGTATAACAGGCACCTGTCCACAGAAGCAAGCAATCAATCCGATTCCAAACTCTCCACCATTACCAAGACCAAAGAGCTCTCCAAGGATGTCAGTGACAAGATTCTAGACCTACACAAGGCTGGAATGGGCTACAAGACCATTGCCAAGCAACTTGGTGAGAAGGTGACAACAGTTGGTGCGATTTTTCGCAAATAGAAGAAACACAAGAACTGTCAATCTCCCTCGGCCTGGGGCTCCATGCAAGATCTCAACTCGTGGAGTTGCAATGATCATGAGAACGGTGAGGAATCAGCCCAGAACTACACGGGAGGATCTTGTCAATGATCTCAAGGCAGCTGGGACCATAGTCACAAATAAAACAATTGGTAATACACTACGCTGTGAAAGACTGAAATCCTGCAGCGTTCGCAAGGTCCCCCTGCTCAAGAAAGCACATATACATGCCCGTCTGAAGTTTGCCAATGAACATCTGAATGATTCAGATAACAACTGGATGAAAGTGTTGTGGTCAGATGAGACCAAAATGGAGCTCTTTGGCATCAACTCAACTCGCCGTGTTTGGAGGAGGAGGAATGCTGCCTATGACCCCAAGAACACCATCCCCACCGTCAAACATGGAGGTGGAAACATTATGCTTTGAGGGTGTTTTTTCTGCTAAGGGGACAGGCAACTTCACCGCATCAAAGGGACGATGAACGGGGCCATGTATCGTAAAATCTTCGATGAGAACCTCCTTCCCTCAGCCAGGGCATTGAAAATGGGTCGTGGATGGGTATTCCAGCATGATAATGACCCAAAACACACGGCCAAGGCAACAAAGGAGTGGCTCAAGAAGAAGCACATTAAGGTCCTGGAGTGGCCTAGCCAGTCTCCAGACCTTAATCCCACAGAAAATCTGTGGAGGGAGCTGAAGGTTCGAGTTGCCAAACGTCAGCCTCGAAACCTTAATGACTTGGAGATCTGCAAAGAGGAGTGGGACAAAATCCCTCCTGAGATGTGTGCAAACCTGGTGGCCAACTACAAGAAACGTCTGACCTCTGTGATTGCCAACAAGGGTTTTGCCACCAAGTACGAAGACATGTTTTGCAGAGGGGTCAAATACTTATTTCCCTCATTAAAATGCCAATCAATTTTTTACATTTTTAACATGCGTTTTTCTGGATTTTGTTGTTATTCTGTCTCTAACTTTTCAAATAAACCTACCATTAAAATTATAGACTGATCATTTCTTTGTCATTGGGCAAACGTACAAAATCAGCAGGGGATCAAATGCTTTTTTCCCTCACTGTAGGAGTTGTGGAAAACACTTGGAGAAGAGTGGATACAACATCATGAATATTAGACAAAGGCTAGCCTGGTAATAATGTGGAGAATAACGATATTGTCGCCAAACTGACTCTGCCAGATGTAGGACAATGTGACAGATTAAGATGATCTAATTGTCATAATGTGAGAAATAGTTGATATAATTAATCCGTTTGCGTTAATGTACACACCTGGAAAATGTAGTTATGTTTGATATGAGACATCTTACAATACATGGTTCCCTCACCTTTTTTAAAATCGCAATATATTTAAATGTTGTCTTACAACTTGGAATCAAGGCGGCCCATAGAGTGTCCTTTGGAAAACAATTTGCGCAGATGCATGTTACGAACAACATTTTAATGCCAGGCAGTCATAACAAGACGCCAATTATATGCATTAATTATGGTGAATTAAATTTACATTTGATGAAAAGCACTTGTATTAGAAATACAAATATTGCACTTGATATCTTGAAGATCAATTTAATGCTAATTGTTTTTGCAAACAGCATATACATCTAAGGGTTGTTTTTTAACCACTGCTTGAACCGATGACTTTATGAACATTCACACTCTTAAGGCATGGATGCCAATCAATTGCTCCTCACCCTTACAAATATAATTAATTTGTGTCGTACATCCACATTTTTTTTTATAATAATGCACTGGCCTACACTAAAACATCCCGGCAGTTAAATTTTGATTTAAAGCTTTCGTGACTGCAGTAATTCATATTCTTAGCTCTTTCGGTAAAGTCACGTTGAAGGGAAACAATAAAATAATAATATATATATAAAACAACAAAAATTCTCACGACGTTTCGACCATAACACAAACGGTCGTCATCAGGTGTGTCGGTTTGCATTAAATTATTTATTTTAAAACGGTGTATTTATTTAAAAAAAACGTCAGCGCCATGCGCAGCGATTTGGCATTTTATTTAGAAGGACTAGTCCATCTATGTTCTGAAAAGAGGAGGGGGGAGACGAAAAATTAATGTATGCTGTCTGAAAGCCACTGTAAGCGTGAACAATCAAGACCTGGAATGGTTTATCTAATCTTTCCAATGATTGCTAAGCC